TTTCTTTCGTCAAAATATAAGCAAAAACTTACATTCAGTGGAAAAATATAGACTGAAACCTTAAACTCTGCTTAGCTACGCTCAAAGAAACTCTTATCGACATCGGGATTTGGAACTGCGTGCAAATGTTTTGTTTTTTTTTAAGTTAAGCACAAAGCTACACAATGAGTTATCTGTGCACTGCCTGCCACGGGTATCGAAACCCGAATTCTAGCGTTGTAAGTCCGCAGACATACCGATGTGCCACTGGGGGGGGGGGCATGCAAATGTAACTGCCTTTGTTGTTACATCAAGAGCAGCTGCCATCATCATGAATAAAAGTCACCGAAGAGAAAGAGCTACGCAGGCAGAAGTTATGCAGGCAGACTATACTTTAATGACACTAAAATTATAAAATTTCTAGCTTAAAACTCAAAAGAAATTTCAAAATTATGAAATATATTAACTAAAAAAAAAGTGAACTAGAAATTTTACTTAAGTTTATTATGCTACAGTTTGCTGTAAGAGAAAAAAAAAGTCAAAGTCTTATTTTCAACAGCATAAACATTGTTGTAAGAATTTCAACGTAGTAAGCTGTCCTCTCTACCCTTGGTAATCCGGCATAGCCAGATGGTTAGGACGCTCGACTCTTAATCTGAGAGTCCCCGTCCCACCAAACATGCTCGCCCTATCAGCCGTGTGGACGTTATAATGTGATGGTCAGTCCCACTATTCGTTGATAAAAGAGTAGCCGAAGAGTTGGCGGTGAGTGGTGATGACTAGCTGCCCTCGTGTAGCTTTGCGCGAATTTCAGTAAAACAAACCCTCAGTAATAAGAACAATTTGGGGCCCAATATGTACACATAATTGCCACTGTATATATTAAGTCGTCAAGAAATTAATATCGTTTTTTTATGAAAAAACCCGAACAACTTATACATCAAAACAAAACATTTATTAAATGAAATAGTCTCCATTTTTATCGATGATGCTTTTCCATCTTACAATCAGGTTGATAATGCCCTGATTAAAGAAATCACTTTGTTTTGAAGCAAAAAACATGTCGATGTGCTTTTGAACACCTTCCACATTTGCATACATTTTCCCATTAAGATGGTGTTGCAGCGAACGAAAAAGGTGGCAATCTGATGTTGCCATATCTGGAGAATATGGTGGGTAGGTGAACTTCCCAACCCAACTCCATAATCTTGTGTTGCGTCAAACGTGCCTCATGTGGACGTGCATTGTCGTGAAGAAGAAGAACACCTTTCCGATTGACGAGTGAAGGGCGTTTCTGAAGAAGGGATTGTTTTAATCGTTCCAATTACAGACTAAAGAGCTCTGCATTGACAATTCGCTGTAGATTGAGGAGCTCGAAATGAATTACTCTTTTGGTGTCCCACCAAATGCAAAGTATCACTTTCTGCGGTTGGAGTCCAGGTTTTGGGGTTAGAAGTGGTTTTTGTCTAGGACGGAGCCATTTTTCACCACCGGTGACAATTCTGTCCAAAAATGGTTCACGCGCATTACGCGCCAAAAGAGACGAAGCAACGTTCACAGGTTGGAAACGATGATCATCGGAGACTTCGTGAGGCACCCAAACACCTTCTTTTTGGAGTTTTCCCATATTCCTTAGATGTTTACGTATTGTTTCATGAGAGACTTGCACTTTCATGGCCATTTCACGAGTGTGTTGCCTCAGGTTAGACTGAACAAGCGTCTTCAGAGCATCAATATCAATTCCAACATGTCGGCCCCTGGCATCACAGTTTTTAAGACTAAAGTCACCTGAACGAAATTTACTG